CGCCACGCCTTCGTCCCGCCCCGGCACGGAACGCTGCGGCGCCATCTTTGAAACGGGCAAAAGCGCCCGCCGCCATTTTGTTGGTCACTTGAGGCGAGGCTGTGGAGGTCGGGGAAGGAGAAGGAGACGGGGAAAAGGGGGAGAAGGAAGGGGAAGGGGAGGGAAACGGAAGGGGAAGGAGCGTGGGCATGGGCGTGGAGGCCATTGGAAACGCGGCAGAGCTGGCAGCAGAGTGCAACAAGTGCTGCAGAGTGGGCGCCAGCTTGCTGCATGGGGGAAGAGGGGTGAACCCAGGCATAGCAGACAGCTTCCCTGTAAGGAAATACAAGAAGCAGGACTGTTCCTGCAAGGCTGGGTATGAGGCTTTGCCAGAGCTGGAACATGGAGAAACGGGCAGGCACAAGGATGGAAAGAGAGGCAAAATTAGCAGGAACCGTGACTGTCCAACCCAGCAACAAGGACAAGGATGACACCATTAATCCTAGTCTGGGATTCTGCACAGCCAGAGGTGCAGATCACCTTCCACTATATTTTAGCGGAAATTAGTGGTAATTGTGTGGAAAATCTTGCTGTCAAGAACCAAATCTCCACAAAGGAGAGAGAGGAGTTCTGAAACTTTATTCGAATAAAGGGAGATTCCACCAGGGCATACCCCTGTGGGGTCTCTCAAATTACAGGAGTAATTGTATCCTTGTATCCTATTTTCCCTGACCAAGGTATGCCCTCTCCTTTTCCCCACTGAGTAAGGTACTCGGAAGTTACAGCCTTCCCAGCCCACCTAACTTATGTTGCTGCTTGATATGTTCCCCCTTCCTGGTCAGACATCACATGTCTAATTAAAGTGACTTTATGCCTCCCCTGGGTGTAAAAGTGAATATTCATTAGCTCATTACACTTTCGCCTACTCTACTAAGGTTGTTTAGGCAGTCGTTTGTTGATAAGGATCTCTGCCTGCCTCCTATTTTCCCCAGAGGTCAACTGTACCCAGTTGCATACATACAGCATGACCTCCCTGCCTATACTCCCTAGTCCTGTTTGCCAAAGAATGTGAGTGTGGAGTAACTCGCACATTTGTAAAGACACAGGCTCCTTTGTCCTGCTCAAAATCTTTTCCTAAAGCAGAAAATGACCTTTTCAAGGATACAGCACACACCTCCATTTGTTCTATAGTCTTTTGGGAAGGGTACCATAACACTTTGGAAAATGCATCATCCCCATCCCTGGGTCTCTGCAGGCACATACTAGCAAGGCTCTCTTTCTACGTGACTTCCCTAGCAAAGTGGGAAATCCTCACTGGAAACAAGTGGAGGGAAATGGGGCAGAATAAGTAAAACATCACTTCCAGTGGCAGCAAAGGCTGAGGATTACACTATCCCGGGATAGCAGTGCATTGGAAAAAGCAGCCATGGTCATGTGCTTTCCTACTGCCACTATTGCAGTACATGGGATTGATATATCAGGGTTCTCCCATGTTCTTCAAAAATAAAAAAGTGAAGAAACTGTTAAACATATATATTTATTTCTTCAACCAGAAGTGATCTCAGCTTTCTTGCATCTTTCTCCTCTGTCTTGCTGCAAACTGAATCCCATACTTGATGGAACATAAACATTCCAAATAAATTTAGCATTATGAATTATTTGCAAGAGTAAAGAAGGGACAGCAGACCAGAAAGGAGGATGCTGCTGTTAAAATACGGGCCTTGATTATCTCGGCAACTATGGATAGCTAGCAGAAGGCAGATTCTAGTGTACTGTGTGCTTGGCCATGCCCCTGGAAGCTTCTCCTAACATTTGAGACCTCTCAGAGGTTTTCTCTCTGCCAAATTGTAATTCCTAAAATTTACAAGCAGGCTTTCAGAAACGCTGCTAGTTCTCTTGCAGTCTTTGAACAGTGGAGGAAAGTGTTCCCGTTCCTTTGATTTTGCCCCTTTTCTCAAGGGCTGTGTTGGGCTCCTTAGGACTGACAGCGCAGTCCTGTGCGGAGGGTGTTGCCAGCTGCCTAGCATGCTTTGGAGGAGAACGCTCCCAGGCATCATAAATCCTCTGGAGGAAGTTTATTTGCAAGGACAGCTTAGCAGTGCTGCTTGAAACTCTGTAGCATAGGTCCCAAGACAAATTGCCTTTTTCTCTGTTCTAAAAGGAAGACTTGTGGTGATCTTAAGCCAATCTCACCATTGTTATAGGCTTTTCTTTCTTAACTCTGTAATGGTACATAAACGTGTATTTGTTTAGTGTCTCTCATCACATCAGATTTTTAAGACTTATAAATGGCCTCTGTACTGTTAGTACATAATTTATAAGCTATAAAAGAGGTTCTCCCATTTGGAATCAGTACTTGTGGTTGTTGCTGCGAGAGAGGAATACTGCATCAAAGAAGTGCCCACTCAGAGAAATCAATGCACATCGTCCATTTCTAATGCAGAATTAGTGATGTTTGCATCCTGGTGGAATTAATGGGAGAAGTTTGTCAAGGCGAGGGTCATTCATAAACCATAACCTTCTTTGTGAGCTTCTCCTAGGTCATCAAACTTGAGCAGGGGAACTTGATTCCCAGCATTGCTCTTGCATCTGTTCACTGTCACTGTAACAGAATCCCAGGTGGGAAATTAACCGCTTCCTAGATCTATTTGTCCGCAGCAGCTCAATGCTTCACCAGTAATCCAGACCTTGAGCACGCAGTGATTTTAGCTCACAGGACTTGGTGAAACTCCCGTAACTTGGGGTTCTGCTGTTAGAGACCAAGCAGGATGTACTTCTACCATGTGCATGCACCAAAACCGTTATCACCGAAGCAATGCAAAGCAGCCTGGGGAAGGTGCTGCCACAGGCTTTCACAGCGGTTAGTAAGCTGGTATGATTAGACAAAGAGGATGACTACAGGCGGAACAGGAAAGTCCAGTCAGAGTAAAAGCTAAGAAATGAAATAAGATTCCCTAACTCAAGGCATAAACCAAGAATAGGGTAGAGCAAAAGTGGAAACTATCCCTGTGGGCAAGGATACCTTCCTTCAGGTCTATGCACATCTGAAAGGACCTGGAAGGCCTCAGGAAGGCCTGAGGACAGGCTGTGGGCAAGGACATGGCCTGATGAACTGCAGCAATGACAATCTCCTTCCTACCATGTATTCTCCACAGGCATCAGCATCTGAACAGACTTGCCTGAATACGTGGGATGTGCAGGCTCATGCCTGCTCCTGGAGACACTGCCGCAGGTTGGTGTCATTGAAGGACAGCTCACCCGGGAGCATGGCATAAAGGATCACAACGGCGCTCCAGGTGTCTGCCAGGAAGGGATCATGGGGCCTGCAGGATCTCAAGGCAGGTGTAGGACCCCTAGAAGGTCTGGCTCATCAGTGGATCTTCCTGGCTCAGTGTCTTCCTGATTCGCCTTGCCTGGATTTGTCCAATGTGCAGAGGACAAAAGTTGAGCAGAAATCCTAAGGAGATGTGTTTGGCTATGGATGAAGCTGTAACAGTTCTTCATGAAGGATAACCAGGAGCAAGAGACACTGAAGGAACCCCAGAGAGACAGGAGTCAGTACTGGTACGAAAACCAGTGGAAGGTGGAACCCAAACTTAGATTAACGATCCGGTAACTCTGGGTCTCTGGCATGGAATATGTAGGGGGACAGTAGTTGCGAAGCTGATGCACTGTCAGATACAGTAGCAGATACAGTCAGATACTTCACACCAGCTGGAGAGAGCTAACAAACAGAGCCGCACACCCAAGCACCCAAAAGAGGAGTCCTCTTTTCCAAACACTCCCCTTCACGGGAGGGGAGTCCCTGGGGGAGCTCACAGCAACAGGGGATGTCCTAGCACAAATAGCACTCTTCTCTCAGTAATAAAATGGGCAGAGGAATCAAGACATTGGCCGTGGGCTTCTTTTTTTTTTTTTTTTTTTTTTCACCCCACCTGTCCCCAAGTTCTGCTGCACAGAAGTAACTGTGGAGAGCTAAGACAGAGCTGTGGAGCTACCCTTCCACTCTGAGTTCCTGATGGCAGCAAAATCCAGGTTATTGAGCGTCCAACTAGCTGGGAAAAGGTTAACCACACAGCATTCCTAAGGAAGGACTGCGAGAAGAATCACTTGCTGGTGTTCAATGTAAAAGCCTGGCTACTACACAACCTGCAAGTTTGCTTGGTCAGCAGTAAATGTAAAGCTGAATGGGAGTTAAAGTCTCTAAGCATGGTGCTACCCAGAGGGGTGAGCCAAGCTTCTCCAGCAGCATTGGCTCATTTAATCACACTCCTCCTGCCTCCCGGGCTATAGTTAAGCCAGCTCCTGAGAGCCCCAGAATGAAATGAGAAATGCTTTTCAAATTACAAATGCCGAATGAGATCCTTTATAACACAGGGTCCAACTTGGGTTGTTGACAGGGTCTGTCTTCTGGAACTATCTTGGAGAGACTGAAGTCTATAATTTATTTGATCATTTTCCTCTGATTTATGGAGATATGAACGAATGTCAATGCTAATGTGTGACATCTCAGCTGATGTTACATCTCCCTGGCTTTGCGCAGAGTGTCTGTGAGCAGAGGACGTGCCTGCCTCTCAAGCCTGGCACGATTGCTTCCTACTACTCTGCACCGGAGACAGTGCGTATTGCAATGCTTAATTTCATCCAGGGGCTGCGCTCCTGAGATTTCCATCCAGGAGATGGCAGTAGCAACATCTCAGTGTTTACACAAGGATTCACACGGGCTCTGGCGGCCCCTTTTGCCTCCTGGCTGCTCTGCTCCATCATCACCACACGGTCTCATTACATGCACCCAGTTACGAATAAGCAACGGGCTCTGCAAAACTATATCTGGACAAATTCCTTCCCCTAGGTCACAATCACAGTCTCAAGGGATAAAAGGTGATGTGTGTCTGCCATGTGTCCTCTTCTTAGCTTTAAGGCATTTCTTAGGTTAAGGAGCAGAATCTGTCCTGCACATTTGAGGTTCTGGCTCCACTGGGGCCATTACTAGCAAAGTCAGAGCCAGGGGTGTTTTGGGGTAGCAAACATTAATACAGCCGGTTGCTGTTAGGCTTGTAACACCTAATGCCCTACTCCGAAATCAGAGAGTGAGAAACACTGCACTCCCAGTCCTCCCACAAAGGAGGGGCCGTAAGACCCCATGCCCAAACATTTAAGTTTTTATAAGAGGAAGCACTAAAAAAAAGTGTTTGTAACTTTTCCATCCTGGGAAGCTAAGGAATGAGAAAAGCAGTGCTGAACCACAGCTTTGCACGAGTGCTCAAACATTTCACCCTAGGGCACTGCAATTCTGGAGCCTCTTCAGTAGACCCAAGGGCTCTTTACAGGTATGACAAATACTCCATTTGTGCTGCAGACAAGAAACCCTGATCCCTCTGTAAACACAGCTCTCAGAACAACACTAATTGGAAAAGCAAATACAGCATTGGAGCAACACTTGGCAAGGTTCCTTTAAAAAGAGAGATATATGATTGGTCAAGAAATTTATACTTTCTAGATGAGAATTTGGGACATGGTGATTTCTCTTTCCCAAGTATCCATATTCTTTGCTGCTGCAATTGGGATTTTCTCTGCTGATTTTCCAGGTGGAAGGACTGATTAGCTAAAATGAAACTGAGCGCCTCTGAGTGTCCATGGTTAAGTTCAGAGAGTACCCAGAGGTCCTGGTCCCTCAGGATTCTTGTAAAGTCAGTGGTTATGAGTAATTCAGCAAAGGGTTTGAAGCAGATACATGTATGCAGCCCTGCCCGTGGACTTGCTCAAAGACATTATCTGCAGTCCTGCACAGGAAATAGCGTCTTCTTTGTGGACCTTTAGATTTTTATTTTACTATTCAGGACATCTTTGTACACATTCTTAACTAAAAAAAAAAAAAAGCACATGATTTGGGCAGTGTGTTTTTCAGTCCTCTAGCTCTGCTTCATGTTCAGTGAAAATTGCAGCTAGAGTTCTTTTCCTTCAGAGATTTTGCCTCAAAGTAGTGAGATGCTCAGAGAAAAACAACAAGCCCTTTCACCCACTGATGTTAGTAACAATCTGTGCAATTCTCATAACATTTACTTCCAGGAGTAACATCCCATTGCTTCTCTTGATGACCTACAATAATGAACAAACTTAAAGCTTCAGTAACCTGCCATCCATCCGGCTTCCAATGGGCAACGTGGTCTGATTAGAAACTTCCTTCCATTTTTGAGAACTTGGGCTGTTGTTCATAAGGCAGGAAGCAATGAAGAAATGAAATGGGGTGGAGAAGCAGTTTATTACTTGAAGGTACTTACCTCCATTCTCCAAGCAGGGTAGATCTCTCCCAGAGTTGAGTTCACTGGCTGGCTCCAAATAAGAATTCATTCAAAATAAACTTGAAGCACAGTGATCAAAGGGAAGACAGTGCCTCTGTTTTGCAGGCCCTCAACATTTTTTAATTTTGACTTTTATAAAATCACTTTTTTTTTAATTTCACAGTTTACAACTGCTTGTGTTTACACAGGCACGTGCATTTGCAAGAAATCAGGTTCGAAGGGAATAAATGAGGACACTGACTTTTTCAGCATTAGTGAAGGAAAACTGCAGATTGGATCAATGTGTCCACGTGGACCAGACACCCATCAGCTGCACAGCTGATCATAAATCAGCCCTACTGGCTTGCAGAGCTGGGTACAATTGAAAGGTTCACAGAATATGAGCCTGAGGCTAGCAAACTATACAGCTGGGCTTGGCATCGGTTTCCATGTAAGAGGAGATGATCAAATATAGCTTGTCTGCTGTCTATGTTTTCTGTTTTTAACCTATTTCTCTTTCAAGGTGTAAAATCCATTTGATTTTTCTCTACCAAAGAAGTAGGTAGAGAAGAAAATGTAAGTGGGTCAGGGTATAAGCACCTCCTAATGGCCAAGAAAGGAGTCATTAGGCTCTTTTGGTTTCCCTTGGTGGAACTAAAGCTGGTGCCACCAAAGGCAAGGGCAACATTTCACAGGACCTTGGGTAAGGCTGAAAAGCAGTTTATTGCCAAGCAGCCTTTAGAGTTAAAAGTGAGCAGGTAGCTGGACAGGGATGCTCATGTTGTGCCAGTAAGTTCAATTAAAAATATTAGTGTTATTCCTCTTTCCTAGAGTTTCTGATCAAGTAGCAAGAAACCACAGAGGTGTCCCCAAGGAAAGAGGGAGCTGAGGGAGGGTTCAAGGCCTTTATTAGAAGTTCTCTGAAGCCGCGGGGTTCTCTGAAGCCCCAAAACTGCAGCTGGAGGATTATTTCTTTGGGGCTGGTGTGGCAAAGGATGGGTCATGCAGGTGGTCTGCGGGCAGGAAGCGAGAGACCCAGGATGTCTGCAGGAGCTCCTGAGCCGAGAGGCGCTCCGAGGCTGGGCACAGCAGCTTCAGGATCACAGCCTGTAAGACGCAGTGGTGGAACAGGGCCTCAGTGCCTCTCCTGAGGCCTGCAGAGACCCCTCGCACCCGGGCGCTCCTGACAGCTGGGAGAACTCCATGCCCTTGGTGGCCCCAGCCGTCTCCAGGCATCCCTTGGTTACCCCCTGGCCCACCTGCCTGCCAAGACCCCTCAGGAGCCTCCACTACTGCCCCTGCAGCCCCCCATGGTCTGCAGGCTCCCTGGAGGTGCCCCTAGATGCCCCCAGCTCCCCACCACTGCCCTCCAGATGGTTCTCCACACCTCTCCCTCCATGTCTCAGAGTTGCCTCCAACGCCCTCTAATGGTCCTTGATGCACCTGGCTGCCCCCCAGGCACACCTTGCAGGCCTTGGGCACCGTGCCCTCCTCGAGGAGGATGGGGGACTGTTGGATCTGCTTCTGGAGACGCCACAGGTTGGTGTCATCAAAGGGCAGCTCACCCAGGAGCATGGCATAGAGGATGACGCCGGCGCTCCACGTGTCTGCCAAGAAGGGGTCGTAGGGCTGAGCCTGCAGGATCTCGAGGCACGCGTAGGCATAGGACCCACAGAAGGTCTGGCTCAGTGTCTTCCCGGTGGACCCAGCCGAAGATGTAGAAAATGCCAGGGATTCTCTCTTGACCTCCTCCAGGGGCATCCTCCGGGGGAAGCCAAGGAGGGAGAGCTTCACATTGTCCTTGCTGTCCAGGAGGAGGTTCTCCATCTTCAAGTCTCTAGGAGAGACACGGGAGCTGGAGTGTCTATGGGGCAGGTGACAGTGCGGAGGGCAGATAAGGGTACTGTGGCTCAGGAAGGAGACCAAACAAAGGCTTGCAGGTCAGATATGGGATGCGCAGGGAGACACAGAGATGAACTGTGGGGCAGACAGGGCAATTTCGAGTTAGATGGGGGACAGGATAGGTGACAGGTGGGGGCAGATAAGGGCATGTAGAGGAACTATGGGGCAAACAGGCTGGTGGAGGTGAGATATGGGCTACGTGGGACTGAGGAGCTGTCTACAGGGCTTACGGACAAAGTACAGGGCAGCTGGTGGCGCGGGAGCGCACGTGCAGTAGGAAGGAGATAGACAGGGATCATGGGGGCACTCACGGGGTCCACGAACCCCTCGCTGCCCAGAGGAGCTCACGCACCGGTGGACGATGGCCCTGCTGTGCAGGTAGACGAGACAGAGGACGAGCTGGGAGAACCAGAGCCCTGCCTGCCTCTCGGAGCAGGGCCCCTGGCTCAGCACCCGCTGCAGGACGTTGCCCGCTGGCGCCAGCTCCATGATAATGTAGTGCCTGCTGCTGGTCTCGATGGCCTGGTAGAGGGTGATGAGGTGCTTGTGGTGCACCCCGCTCCACAGCTGCGGGTGGGCAGGGGGGGAGCAGGGCTGGGCTGGGCCCAGAGGGTCTACCCCCAGGGACAGGGCTGCCGCTGCCCCATCTCCTGCACCTGGTGGCCTGTTTAAGCCCTTGCTGCCCCAGCAATGCCCACAAGCAAGTCCCAAAGCCCCCCAGCTCCCTGCCTCACCCACTCCCTCCAACACCCCCCGATGCTCCTCTGCGTGTCCCCTCTTCCTGCCTGGATGTGACGGGGTAGCAGCTCTCTCAGATACTGCCGCGTGGCTTTCTTTTTGGAGATGACTTTGATGGCAACCTGCGCGTGCCCATGGCGGGCCCTGGCCTTGTACACCTTCCCGTAGACGCAGTGGCCCAGCAGCCCCTCCAGCTCGTAGCCAAACCGCGCCAGCACCGCAGGGGTGGTAGCAGGGGCCGCCTCTGCCATGGCCTGCAGGCAGGAGAG